CCCCCCCCCCCTCCGCCCCCACTACTGCTTTCTCCTACCATTAATGCCACGGCAGCATGCGAGCCTATTCGCCGCCCGTCACCCGCCAAAGAGCCCGGGCGATAATTCTCGGGCAGGCCGCCCTAAGGAGTCAGCGAGAGCAGCCAGAACAGCAGGGGCAAGCACGCCAGGTGCAACGCAGTAGCAGCAGCAGCACACGCAGGGGCAGTCGCGTGCGTCGCCGTGAGCAGGAGCAGGGCGCGTCGGAGAGCTTGCCTAACGGCGGCGGCGGCGGCGGAACAGGAGGAGGAGCAGCAGCAGAGGACTCCGACGGAGGAAGGGGCGAGAGGGTCGCGAGTGGGGGGAGACCAGGTTCTCGTTCGTCGTCACGCACGACCGGCACTCGGTCGGTAAGTAGCGGGTGCTACATATTTCATGCTTCGCATGTAGTTGTAGAAAAATATGCATACAACAAGCAAAGAGAGACTTCCCGTTCGAGATACAACCAAGTCGAAGAGGATGGGTTGGTGGTGTCCTTGAAGTGAGAGTTTTTTTTTGTTCCTGTGTAGAACGGCGTCTTGTGGATGATACCCAATGTTTCGCCTTTTCGGACGCACGACTAGGTTTGGTTTTGCTGTCCGGTGTGTTGTTGCCGCGTAGTATGTACCGCTGTACGCTGGGGAGTAGTGTTCGAGTGCTATAATATGTCGACAAGTCATGTGGTCACGGAGTTCGTGTTTGTGTATCCATCGTTGTCGCCGTCGGTCCATTTCTTGTGTAGCGAACACGGTGCGCCGCGGGCGAATGTCGCCGCATATTCCCACAATGCGCCCTTCTACGTCCTCGTTGTGTCACCCTTGTTTACCCCCGCGATGGGCGATGAACCCATGGCATATCTGGTCTGACGCAGCAAACGCAAGGACGATGTCCTGCTTCTGGTCCATCATTGTGAAGCGTAGCCTGGGCCGGCGAAAACCCCGCGTATCGGTTCGTCCCGGCATTGTAAGGATGCGAGTTCAATGGTCTAACGACCACGGTGTGCGTTTACCTGTGTATCCCCCCCCCCCTCGCAGGAATCTACTGCAACCGTGGGTAATACCGCGAGCCGCTGGAGGAGGGGTGGAGGCCGCAGCAACCCTAGCGTAGAGGTCGAGGTGGAAATAGCAAAGGGATTGGGAGGGGGCGGCGGCGGCGGCGGCGGCGGCGGCGGCAGCAAGGTGGCCGTTGCGGAAGCCACGAGTGAGCCGGTGGACCAAGGCGTGGACGCCGACTGCGACGACGACGTGGCATCGTCATCGGTGGCGGCGGCGTCTCCGGGTGCCCGGCACTCTTCGTCTTCTTCGTCACAGCCGCTGGAAGAGGTTAACCCCAGCGTTCTCAACGCCAAAGACTTTTCATCAGGCAGCAGCAGCAGCGGCGGAGTCGATGCCGAGGGGGATGGCAAGGAAGGGGGCAGCAGCAGCGCCAGCGCCAGCGCCGCCTCAAGCAGCCATCATGAACCACCACGACCGTCGTCGCAATCGGACCGGGAGGACGGTGGCCGCCCCGCGATTGGCGGACCCAACCTCATGGGCGGAAGCGCTACCGCGGTAGCAGCGCCGCTGCCGGCTGCTTTGAGCGGCGATGGTGCAGACGGCGCTGCTGTCGACGGCGACGCTGGTAATCCTAACCACGGGGGAGTGCTCCCGATTCCTCCTCCCGCCCGGGGTCCCAGCGCGACGGCGGCGGCGTTAGCAAGAGCGGTCGCTGACAGACGAGACACGAGTTCTTCGGGCAGAGCCGTCAGAGGCAGGAGCTCCAGAGCCGCCGCGGGGGGAAGGGGAGGCGGCGGGGACATGGATGGATCGCCCGAGAGGGGGGTGAAGCCCCCGGCGGCGGAGGAGGAGGGCGAAGGGTCCGGTGGAGGCGCTGGGCTCGGGTCGCGCCTGAACGGCAAGTCTGTGCTGGCCAAGGGGAGCACCGGTGTCAGCCCCATGCAAAAGCGCAACCGACGGGAGCTGAAGGTAGCGTTGCTTTCTGTATTGTTGAATCAATTCCACGGGCCCCCCTCTCTCATACGTATTTACGTAGATTGTTGTCGGTGTTTGTTGGTGGGCCGTGTTCGCTTCGTGACTGCCGTTGTTGCTGTTCGGTTCATGAAGGCGCGCTGTGTTGTTGGTGAGGGTCGCCGATTCCTTGCTCCTCCTCCCCGCTCCTCCCTCTCCATGCGCCTGCGTGCTCGTAATTCATCTCTCCTCCCCCCTCTCTCTCCCTCTCTCCCTCTCTCCCTCTCTCCCTCTCACCCGCTTTCCCTCTTCATCCTTCTCTCTCTTTCTCTCGCTCCCTCTTTCTCCCTATTTCCCCGTCCCCCCTCGTCTTCCTCTCTTGCTCTCGCTCTCCCTCCTTTCTCTTTGTCCATGTGTTTCTCTCATCCTCTCTCCCCCCTCACTTTCGCTCACTCCTACTGTCTCCATTCCCAACGACCTCCCGAAAAATCCAAATCAGCTTTCAGAAGAGGAAACCGCCATGGCGGGCGCCCCGCAGGGACCCGTGTACCAGGTGGCGGTGCTCGAGACGGGGGACTTCGAGCCGTCCCCTAACCCGGACGAGGAGATGCAGGCCGTACGCGCGGCCTCAGCGGGCGACGGGGATTGGGCGGATCTGTACAGTGCCGTCGATTCGGCCCGCAGGCTCTGCATCTTCCACGCGCAGAAGCTCCTTGTCCCCGGGGGGCCCGGGGGCCGGGGGGCCGGCAGCAGCGGCGACGGAGGGGATGCGGACGATAATCTGGAGGGGGTGGTGGGGTTGCTGGCGGCGGCGGTGGGGAACCTCCGGTCGTCGATGGTTCGGAATGCCCTGCTCGGGGTGGGGGACATTTTCAGGCGAGTGTGGAGACTTTGTGATGGTCGATGGGTTTTCTACCTGGTGGCCAAAGGAGGTGCGTTCATGAGGCATCTGGTGAGAGAAAGCCAAGGCAGATACGTATTCAGCAACGGCGGTAGCAAGACCACCAAACCGGCCTGCGTTAACCACCTCTCGGTTTTTGCGAAATCCAGGGGGCGGCAGTAGGGAATTTTGGTGCATTCTGTGTGGGTGTCGTCGTCCTACGGCCTAATGCGACGAACCTATGCATGTAGCCCAGCCCCCGCAACGAATACGGCAAGGCTTTCGCGCTGTCTGTTTGGTGAGTGAGGTAGGAGAGTTGTGTGGTCCCGATATCGTTTCTCCCGCAGGAGCAGCGGTCGAATTTAGCACAAACCTCGGATCTTTTTGCGCATGAGCGTTGCGTTGGAAGGTACGAACATGCACCCGATCCGCCAAACCGATCTAGCAAACTCGACCCTCACACCACTGTTTCTTGCGGCCACCCCGTGCGTCTGGCTATATCATGGGTGCGTCGGGCCCGGCTTGTTCTCTCTCTCTCTGGTGCGCCGACTCACGGCCGATCAGGTTCTTGAAGCATGACGTGGGGAGGGTAGACATCAGGCCCATGATGGCGGGCACGCTGCAGCGCCTTGCTGGAGACAAGCGCTTCATTTGCCAAACGGCGGCTCAGGTGTGCTGGTGTACATAGGAGGGCCTTGTGCGTTGCATACAGGCAAGCCTGCAGTACAAGAGAAAGGGAGACTCACGTTGTTGAGGTGTTTGCACTCACGTAGACAAGCACGCGAAAGATGCCGGCACAGCAGTTTGCAGTCTGATATTTTGGGGGCTGTAGTGCGTCGCGTGCATATTCACAAGCACACGATGGGGGCCTTGTGCCCGGCAAGCTGTAGTTGACGGCCTGTTTGGCCGCTGACATGGCGCGCGCAGCAGCTTGAGAGAATTACCAGAGTAATCTCGTTTGACTCTGGCAATCCTCTGGCAAACGTCGAAACAGGCTATGGAAGCGGCGGCACGCAACGGACCCGGTGTGGACGTGTTACATGCGATTCTTCCGTCCTTGGACGACCGCAACGCTGAAGTCGCTGCGAAGGTGTGTGTGCATTTTTATGTTAATGGCACCGACCGCGCTATGTGACCGCGGTTGGCTACTGCAAAGACGTCAGTCTCAGTGCCGTTGAAATCACAAACTGTTCCTGAAAGCGTGTGTGTGTGTTCGTGTTGTTGGCATCTACCGCGCTAACCGGCTGACCAATGAAAAGACGTCAGTCTCAGGTTGTTCATTCTGTGTTTCCATGTTGGTCCGGCACCGAAGGCGCTAACCGGCTGACATAAGAAGAGAAGTCTCGGTCTATATCCAGCGTTCTAGCCAGAACCCCCCCCCTCTGATTTGCGGTTTTCTGTCCTCTCGACACTTGCGTCTTGACGCAACCTTCGTGACACTTGCAGTTGAGTACCCCCACCCCTCACCCCCCTCGCTGTTTGTCCCGACTCCCTGTCTGCGCGCCCCCCCTTGTAGTCGGCCTTTTACGCGGAGCAGTGCCTGGCTACTCTGGGCGTTGGGAGCAAGGCGGGAGTGGGCTTGCCCGAGGCCCTAGAGTTCCGTAGCATGTTGCCCGGCATGTCGCGAGCGTTGAATGGGAAAGTCGCGGAGGGAAGGGCGTCGGCCAGACGGGCGCTGCTGAGGTGATGACTACACAATCCGCGAACACGTGTGAAAACAATTTCACGATCCATGAAGACCCTGCATATGTATTTGATGAGGGGGGTAGGGTTATGGTTATGTTTAGGTTAGATATGACGTACTGTACCGATTTATTTTTATTACTTTTGGTTTGTTGAGGTTAGCTGGGCTCTTGGAGTCAAGAACACGCCAGATGTGTGGGCTGTTCGAGCGCGGGAAACGTCACTGATGGCTGCTGGCAGCTGAATCGCCCTGCTTTTCTTTGATGTTGCATCTCGCCTTGATGACACTACTACTTCAACTGTATGCTCTGATGACCCCAGTCCGGAGGCGTGCCGTGGACACTCTTATGCCGATGCTCGGGCCTCACTGGAACAGCGGCTTCAGAGTCCCAATCCACGAAAAACTCTAGTGCACCACGACGCCGGCCCGGGGTGTCCTTGCAGCGGGGACTAGTGCCATTCTGTCTGTGTGATTTGTCATGGGGGTTGTTGCGGACGTTCTCAAACTACACCTCTCAGCTAACCTGTGGGTAGTTGTGCGCAAGCCGGGCAACATCATTAGAATGTTTTCGTTATTGTTGCATCGTCGCCCGTCTTCTCTTGTGCTTGTTTCGTCTCATGCGTCTCCCTGCTGTCATTGGTGTCGATGCTGCTGCCTGCTGCCTGCTGCTGTTGCTCCGGCCGTCGTTGCTCCTTATTTTTGGCCCACAGGTGTCGCAAGGCCATGGGCCTCGGTCCTTTCGAGGCTGCCGTTAAGGCATCCCAGGAGAAGGTAGAGGCGGCATCCCTCCTCACCGTATTGGCGACGCCCAACCGAACAGGCGCCGCGGCAGGGGCAGGGAAGGCCGGGCCCGGCCGAGCACCAATCCTGCAGGGGCGACGGGGTGGTACGGGGGCGGGAAGGGGGGGTAGTGTGGCGGCGCGGCCGTCCATCCGTGAGCAGATGATGGCGGCGAGAAGAAAACAGGAGCAAGCGGAGGGAGGCAGCGGGGGTGGGGGGGAGGGGTTCGTAGTCGTGTCGTGAGGAGGGGGGGTTGGGTTTCCTGTGGTTTTGACGGCGGTTGTGTGGACGGATATTTTAGCAGATGGCGGTGGGCTCTGATCGATGGTTGACGGCCTGAATTCGGTCAAACGTGGTCAAGAATGACAGTGAAGGATGTTCACTGTCGCTGTGGTGGTGCGGGCGATCTTCTCTGTCTTGAGAGACGTTACGGGCAGTGAGTCGGGCGTGTTGGCTTGGTTATCCCCAGACCGCCCCCGGGCAAAAACAGCTCCCCCCCCCCCCCCCCCCCCCCCCCCCCCCCCCCCCCCCCCCCCCCCCNCCCCCCCGCCCCCTGCATTCCTTGGAGTCGCACGAAGCGTCCGCAGGATGGCTTCGCCAGAGGACCTCTGCACATTTTGGCGAATCGTGGCGTTTGCACTCAGTGCCAACCTCTTTATTTTCTCAGTGCCAACCTCTTTATTTTCTCGTGCGGCAGCGGATGTGTTGCAATCGAACGGCTGACCGAATTTGCTGTTGAGGCTTTTCCTCATTTCGGAGCCTACCGCCGTCTCTTTTCAGACTACTTCAATTTCTTCTAACTGTTTGTGATGTTATCAGCGAAGCAGCGGAGTAGTATTTGTTGTCTAGAGCGATCATGGGAGGTCCATTCATAGCTTGGTGGGCATTTGAGAGGGTTTCTCGCACGAACTGTACGGGAGACAGCAGCAGTGACGGCGACATCAGAAAGCAGTATCAGCAAGACATAGTGCTTGTACAGTATTGGAAGAGGAGCCAGACCTGACGGTTTCAAGATTTCAGACACGTTGAAAGACGATCGCGCCATTTCCGGCGATGCTGCCTTCGAGCCGATGTGCCCGCTGACCTGACATTATGGTACAGTTTTTTTTTTTTTGGTGCCACAGTATCATACGGAGCGTCCTGCTTCTTTCGGGGGTTCACTCGGAATGTTGCTCGATTTCAGGGTGTGGGTTTGGGCAGGGAGCATTCTTCATGTTCGAGATTTGGGAGTGAAGGCCGCGATGAGATGTTCGTTTTTTTCTCGTTTGTCCCAACCTTGCTTAGACCAAGTGGGAAATCACCACGACGTCGACGCGTGGGACATGCTACGATTCTCGCCCTTGTTTCTTTTGTGTGCCGGAAAAGTCTAGAGTGGATGTGTGGTAGTACGATATTGTAGCTTCGATTTTGCAGCAAAATCGGATATTGTGTTCAGCATGGCACCGAGTGCGCTGCGCTTGCGTGTGAGTTTTCCACATGCACGGTGAGGGCGACCCTCCAACCGGGACGAAAATGGTGATGTGGGGTTTATCTCTTGTTGTGGCTCGGTCGATTGCTGTGGGCATGATTGCCTTCGTGTCGGCATGTCGGAGGAACGGAAGAGGTACACCGGTATATTAATGTGTCTAATGCAGGTAGTGCATGCGGGGCGCCTCCTTCGCGTTGGTATGTCGGAGGAAAACAGGTACCCGGGTATAATTCCATCTTGTTGAGGTTTCGGCGTATGGTGGGCCAACGTTTCACAACTCTCATTCGACGGGGTGGATTTTGCAGACGATCACCGCGTTTTGTCATATCATAGAACAGGGGACTCTAGCCGGCACTTGACCCCAATCCACCCACCACCCATCCCTCTGTTGGGAGGTCGGCCGAAAGAGCCTACTGGTGTTAATGTTTCCCGAAACCGTCAAGCATTCCAACGTCCGAGCAGTTTTTTTTTCCTTCTTTTTCTCGAAGAGGTGTGCAACGACGTCGTTTCATTCATATGTTGTCTCACGTAAGCTTGGTTCGGTTTGGTTCAGGATAAAAAACAGGAGGGTACATAGATGCATTATTGCTGGTAATTGTTTGTTGCGGAGGGGGAGGGCGAACGATTCCTGGCGCTGGTAACACCGTCACTATTTTGTTCCCGAGAACAGCGCGCCGTGAGGGGGAAAGAGGGAGCAAGGGTTACCCGGACGAGGGGCTTATTGGGGGGAAGCTGTAAGTAGTACTGTAGTTCTGCTTCCCCTCGGTCGGCGATGATCTCACTGCAGACGGGTGAGAGAGATACCAGCACACAAGAATGCAACAAGAGAAAATCGTGCGGCTGCCCCGACCCTTCTTCAACAGGACCACATCGGGTCTGGCCGAACGTCCTTTCTTCATCGATTCTTTGCCTCCCGACCCACGACTGCCGGCGGTAAGATTCCTTCACAATCGCACCCAAAATTTCTCAATCGAAAGTGGTTTGGAGCACGAGCGGGCTTGTTTCATGTCATTCGGAGAGGTTCGGAACCAGCGAGATCTGCTTGTTCCTTCGCAAAACTGTGGCAAGGAAGGAGGGCGTGCTGCTGCCGTTCCGAACCGATGGATTGGTGTGTGCACTCGAACCACTGTTTCAGTCTCACAGACTTGCGTTCCATTCTTTCCCCAAACCACACGCTTTCACCACAAGACCACACCACAAATACCACCACCCTATCTTCTTATCCTGTATCTGCCTCACCGCAGCCCAGAGAGTGTACTCTGCCGACATGCCCATCAGTGTGGGTGGTGACGCCGGGTGAAGCGACATGGCCTCAAAAAGTGCAGAAGACTGCGACGGATCGACCATTCCGAAGGGGAAATTACGGTCTGATATCTGTTAGTGACTTTTCCCATCGATGGGCTTTTACGCCCTCTGATCGGTCAAGCTTTGATTCGGCGGTCAATTCCTTTTCATTGCCCTCTCTTTGCTCCACACTCTGACGACAACGCTGCGCAGCCGTGTTTTCACTCTGTTCGTGGCCTCTAGGCCGGCGTTTGATCATGCGTTAGCGTAAGGGTAAGGGTAAGGGTTGGGTTGAGTCCGCCACGGTGTGTGAAACATGTACGGAACCGACATAAACCTACAGATTCAACATCTGGTTAGACCAAAAGAGTCACTAACAGACCGCAAACAGGCCTCGGGTTCCCAACCCGATCTTTTCCCAAGCTCTTGCTTGGGTCTCTCCAGACCACAAGTCCTTTCTTTTCGTGGCCCACCCCTTGACCGATCGGGTCTCAAAAGCCGATCTCGAGCTACAGCATACGACATACGATGACGGAGGCATCACTCGGTAGGGCGTCGCCAATGATGACGCTTCCCCGAGGTTGAGCAGCTCATCATTTGAGTGTCATCGGTCCTTGGCAATTCAGTACATTCCCCGATCATTCTCATGCAAATCCACCCCGCGGCCAGCCGAGTTCCCAGCCTCAACTCTTCACTCGTTGCCAATCACGTGGCGTTCGTTTCCCCCAATTCATTTCTTCGTGTCCTTTCCCTGGCACTTCTCCCGCCGTGCCATCTCGTGCCGATACGAGCACCAGGTTTCACCGATACCTTTCCTACCAACGAACGCTGTGTTCACTTACTCTGAAGAAGTTACTCTATTGGCCAACACGGACGTGAGAGTTCGTGATCGACGGGTGGGCACTGGGAGGCAAGAATCGGTGAGCCCTGTAGCTTGGAAGGGTTGAACACGGGTCGGGGTTAGGTGTTGGTTTCGGGTCGACCGATGCCACCCAGGGAAGTTCAGTAAGGCCGCGTTGGTGTTGAGGTAAGGAATTGGAGTGGCCAGGAGTTTGGCCGGACACGAGATGGCATGGCGGGAAGCGTCGGGGAAGCTCCTTCTCCCACTCGTCTCCAGCCATGCTATCTCGCGTTTGCCCGAGCTCGCGACTCCACAGACTCCTTGCATTCCAACTTAGACCTTTTTCACGAACTCTTGTTCGAGTGTCATCCGTCTTCTCCAATTCAGTACCTTCTCCGATTGCTCTCTCGCCATGTCATCTGGCAGGCATCCAAAAGCCCGGGTTCACCGATTTACTTCCTCCCAACCGCCATGTCCATTCACTGCGACCTCCGCAGTATCACCCCTCCCCTGAGCATCTTCTCCCCCTTCTTCCATCTGGCCATCTTGTGTTCATGTAAGACCCTGACAACGTAGTCTCTGCAGTCCTTTGCTCCACATCAGTGCACTACAATTCCAAGGTACAACTCCAAGGTCGACCGCACCCGCCATCAAGCAAGGGTAGGGATTCTTACGACAGAGTCAGGCAGCCCCGCGTCTGCCCGAGCGGTGTCGATCTACACGGGTGCAATTTCGTGCTACTGCAATCTTGAAGGTCAGGCCAAACCCTGGAGTGACAACGACCTCTCGTGGGCGTTCATCTTGGATACTGCAATGTCGCGCTCCCTGTACCTCCTGTCACGGTCTCTCGATCCCGCCGCATTGCTGGCTTCACCGTTTCCATGCCTCCAACCAACGCGCATTCACTTTCACTTTCCTGAATCACTTCTCCAGTAACCAACCCCGACCGTGCCATTTTGGATCTGGCCTAGGCGCTGGCTTGATCGTTTTCGTGCTCCCCAACCCACCCGTAGTACACTCGCACTTTCCTGCTTGGCATCACTCGTCACCAAGACCAACCCGTTCCCCGATCCCTTTCCTACAATTCGGCAAGTATTTCCCGTCCAATCAAGCTACCTGGCTCCTGGCGACATTATCTCCCAACCAACGCTATATTCATTCACACTTTCCTGAGGTGGCACCTCTCGTCCTCAATACATCCCACCTCGATTCCGCCGCACTGCTGCCCTACACCAACTCCTTGCCTCTCGACCAACGCGGTATTCACTCACATGGCATTGCTCATCCCGTAGTCAACCCCTCCCCGTGCCCTTTGCCAGTCTTGAAATCTCACGTCCAATCAAGGCCCTCGCTAAAAAACTTGCGTGCCACCTTACCAACACGACATTCACTCATACGTTTCTGCTTGGCATCGCTCGTCTCATAGCCACTCCCGTCCACGACCCTGCTCCCGCCATGCCATCTCACGCCCAGCGGAGCTCCAGGGCTCAACGACACCTTTACTTCCACCACACGTACTACTCACTCACCCGCATTTCTGTGGCCCCCGTCCTCACCAATGAAGCCCTTTCTTAATGCTGCTCTCAAAACAGCATCTCTCGTCCATTCTAGGCCCTTACTACACCGGTTCCTTGACTCCCAGTCAATCCGGTATTCACTCAAACTTTCCCGCCTGGCAATGGCCGTCCGAAATGAACCCTTTCCCCTATCGTTCTACCGCCGTACTTGACCAATTCCTTTCATCCCAACCAATGCAGCATCCACCCCGATTTTCTGCCTGGCGGATTCGTCCCGTAGGCATCCTTTATCCCCCACCATGCTACCGCGACGCTATCTCGCGACCATCTGAGCTCCTAAATTATGCCAATCCATGCCTCTCAGCCACCTATTGTTCACTGACTCTCACCTTCGTAGCACTCGTCGTCGACCGCAAGCCCCTCCTCCGATCTTCTCCCGCCATGCCATCTCGCGTTCATCCCAGCTCATGGCCCATCGGTTCCTTGCCTTCAAACCCACGCTGTGTTCACTCACTGTCGTTTTCCCCGGAGCCACTCTTCCCCAAAACAACCCCCTTTCCCGACGTCTTTCCCACGTTGACATCTGGGATTCCTTCAAGGCTTCAGGAAATGGATGTATTGTCGATATCTCCCTCCCAAACAGCGCGGTATTCACTCACGCATCATTCCTGTGTGGCACCAATCGTCCAGTTTCTAACCCCTTCTACAGCCACGCCATGTAAGGTCTGGTCAAGGCTCAGGCTTTATCGATTCCTGGTCCAACCCACGGCTTCTTCACTCACTCGTTCCTGTGTCGGATCGATCGCCGAGGGCCAAAACAAAACCCTTCCCCGACGATACTCCCCCCATGTCGTATCACGTCCAGCGAAACGCATGGCATAACTATTCGTTGACCTCCCACCAACTCACAATTCACTCACACGTTCCAGCGTAGCATCGCTCCTCCAATAGCCGACTCCGTTCCCGACGAACCCCCAACCACACCATCTGTCCGCAAAACGTATGGCCGAAATCATTCCTTGCCTCATAAACCACTAAACATTCACTCGCACTCACCTCAACGGCATGCGTCCTCCCCGATCTAGAAATGCCCGCCGCTTCGACCCCCATGCTATCTCCGTCCATCCAAGTCCCTAAATTCCTTGCCTCTCAACCAACGCGATGTTCATTCACACTTTCGGGTGGTCAAATAATCCGTCCCGTGCCCCTACCCTTCCCCGACACTCCTGCCACCAAGCCATATCGTGTCCCGCCAAACACATGGCTGCATCCATTCCTTCCTCCTAGCCAACTCAAAATTCCCGCACACGTTCCTGCGTTGAATCGCTCCCACCGCTACCAACCTCTTCCTACATGTAGACGCTCCTCCCACCATGGTATCTCGTGTGCCACCAAACGCATGGCTAAACCGATTCCTTGCCTCCAAACTCGTGTCATGTTCACTCACACTTATCTCAACGGCACTCAATCCGTCCTCGCCATTCGAACCCCCTCCCCAACCCTTCTCCCGCCATGCCATCTCGTGTCCCGTCGATGACCCGGTCGAATGGATTCCTTGCCTCCCAACCCACGCCTCAGCGTGGCCCCGTTCCTAGCATTCCTGTACCATGTCCGACCATTCTCCCATCATCGAATCTCACGTCCCCCCATGGTTTTTCACCCTTTCCTTTCCCCCCATGCCCATTCCATTCCAGTCGTGTGGTTGCTCCCATCGTTGCTTCTCGATACCCCCACCCTTTGCCATCGGCCCGTTCCCTTAGCCTACCCTCCACTCCATCACGCCGTCGCGCCACCGAACTCATCCGTAAACCCTGTCGCCGTGCCATGCCGCATTTACTCCTAACTCGAAGAATGTATGCGCTGAGTGGCGGAGAAGCTCCTGTCACGTTCCTGATGTACAGCTCCTATCTCTCCGTGCTGTTGCGCGCATTCGTGCACCTCCTTCCCGCACAGATTCATTACACGTCGACTTCGTGCCCTTTTCGTGCAGTCCTTATCTGCTTGTTGTACACTCAGACATACTTATCGATTAGTGTGCTTTAGTCCAATATCTTACTCTACTGGCCGGGGCATCGGACAACCGTCCCCTCGTT